TGGAGAACTTATTAAATGTCATATCGTCGATAAGACTGAACCACATAATATGGTACAAATTAACCAATTTAATTTGATTAAAAAAAAAAAAAATGTTTTATATTTTAGTATATTTCAATACTATTTCATTTATCACAGAATGTAGAGAAATGGTATGAGATCAATGATTTAGCATACCTCCTGTCACCAAATTCATCATTTGACAAAGGCATTACCGTATCAGAAGGCCTATTAGAAATGCTTGATGAATTAAAAGACCAAAAAATATCACCGAAAAACAACGCAAAACGCATTGATGTCTTTAAAAGACTTAAAAATAAATTCAGTATATTATTGCCTCCACCAAATGTGGACGTAAGATTCAATCTGTAGGTTATTTTAAGTTTTTACAAATCTTTTATTTTCTTGTAGGGAAACAAAGAATATTTGACGTGGGTAGATAAAAAACTTCACAGAGATCATCAGGATATGTTAAATGGTACCAAAAGTCTGAAGATATTCCAGTGTTGGAATCAGTTAGAACTTAAATATAATATAATCAATGCACTTATGATTTCATTGAAGGACGCTATTAAATCAACATCACCGGTTCGTTTTAACAATCAATTAAATGCTTATTATTTATTAATATATATGGTTCATAGTCATCGAGTCTTAGTGAATTATAAATTGTATTAATGTAATAGTGTAAGTACGTCATATTAATAAATTATCATTACTGAGCAGTTAAATTTTAATTTAAAATATCAAAAAGTCAGTATGTAGCATAGTTAATTTGAAATTAACTTTGTAATTTTCATAGGCTACTGCTATGGATGACATGTTAATTTGTGTTTAATGATAAACTATTGCATATGAAAACAATTTTAAGTGGATACGTGTGATGGTCCGCTAGTTTTTTTTTATAATTCTTTAATACTAGGTACTAGAAATTCAGTAGATTGAAATGATACTTCCAAAAATATTACATATTTCTGAGGACCAATCTGATCCTGTTATTTGTAAATCTATTGTTACACTATTCTCAAGTGCATTATCTTGTATTCTTTAATCAGTGGTAATACACTGTGAATATAAAATAACGGACACGTTTTGTAACGACAACACACTTTATTTGTTACTTAATTATACTTAATTTATTCAGACGTGTGCGGCGTTGACGACGGTCAGGCAAAAGCTGAAGCCGTCGTCCAACGTTGGTCGGACCGGCAGCTCGCGCCGTTGGCGGCGGCCAAACCGGTTGTCGGTTGTGATCTCGTGGGCGTCGATAAAGACAC